GTTTGAAGTCTAAATGTCAAAAGATTCTCAAGTAATGTTCAAAACATGTTTTTTTTTCTCTATTTGACCTTGGGTCAAGGTCAAAGTCCTTGTGCACTAGATCTTGTATTTAATGTCTTCTTTCTATGTTGCATGTTTGAAGTCCTAATATCAAATGGTACTCAATCTATGACCTAAACTCTATTTAGATGTGAAAATTTGACCTTGACCTAATAATATTGGATCAAGGTCATATAATATGATCACATAAACTTTCTCCAATGTGTCCTCTGCATGTTCCCAGTTTGAAGTCTAAATCTCAAAGATATCTCAAGTTGTGGTAAAATCATGTTTTTCTATATTTGACCTTGAACAAAAAAGGGTCAAGGTCAAAGTTCTTGTGCACTGCATCATGTATTTAATGTCTCCCTTCTATGTTTTAAGTTTGAAGTCCTTATATCAAATGGTATTCAAGCTACGGCCTAAACTCTATTTTGATGTGAAAGTTTGACCTTGACCCTATAAACATTGGATCAAGGTCAAAAATTTTGATCACATACACCCTTCTCCTATGTGTCTTCTGCATATTCCAAGTTTGAAGTCTAAATGTCTAAGGTATCTAAAGTTATGTTAAAATCATGTTTTTTCTCTATTTGACCTTGAACATAGAAAGGGGTCAAGGTCAAAGTTTAGGTGCACTACATCTTGTATTTAATGTCTTCTTTCTATATTTCAAGATTGAAGTCCTAATATTAAAGGGTACTCAAGCTATTGCCAAAACTCTATTTTAATGTAAAAGTTTGACCTTGACCTTATGTATGGATCAAGGTCAAAAATTTTGGTGCCGGACACTCCGCCTCAAGGTCATCTCTCTAAGTTCCAAGTATGAAGTCTTCAGGTCAAAGGGTATTCAAGTTACGGCCTGGACAAAATTTGGATGAAGAAGAAGAATAATAAGAAGAAGAATAAGAAAATCGACAAAAACAATATGTCTCCCCTTCGGAAGGGGAGACATAAATATCATAACCTGCTATTTTTTTCTGCAACAGCAGAAAGCATCTTATTGTTTAAATAAAATTTATGTAACACTTTATTATGAAATAAAATATATGATAAAATTTCCATCATTTTTCAATCCTCAGGGTCAGTGGTTCTGGTGGGTGGGGTGCACAATTGGTTATAACGTGAAAATGCATTTTCTCTTTGTTACTCTGATCTACATATTGGTATTAAGGTAGGACACAATAGATAGGCCAAATTTTTCCTCAAATACAATTCTTCCTGGAACTTTGATATATTGTTCTAGGATACAAAAATTTTATTTATATATATGATATGAAAGAAATTCAACCACACATTTTTTGCCCACACAGTCTGAAATATGGCCTATCAGACCCCTGTAAGAAGATTGTGAAATCAGAAATACGAATTGAGAATGAGCCTTATTTTTGAAATATCAATTGATCTATTGCATATTTCTGTAATATTTTTAATAAAGATAACCTTTTTGTTACTTTAAATCAGTAAGTCAAATTGATTCTGGAAAATTTGAGTAAAATATTAATTAAAAATAGAACATACATAGCGACGGAATTGAAAATTCACATGTAAATATCCGAAAGTTTAAGTTTTCCCAATAGAACATGTAGAATTCAATTTTTTACAAAAAAATCAACAGAATGATTTAGATGGGTCCTAGAATAAAATGTGTAAACATAAAGAAAATTGAATCAGTGGTTTCAGATATTTTGGCAATAAACAAATTTCAATGGCAAAAAAAAAAATTAAAGATTCACGAGATGACGTAACAATATTTGACCTTTGACCTCTTGTTATGACCTTGGCCTTTGTAGTACATAAAAAATGGAAGACTCCTTATATATGTCTCCAAATATCACCTCTCTACTCTTTATGGATTAAAAGTTACACTGCAATATAACAAACTATTACATGCTCGTTTATTGCACTTAGATAGCATAAACACATTCACAAATGTAAGCCCCCAAGTGACCAATATATAGGATTCTCTGGGTTTTTTTTTTCACAAAATATGATGCAAACATGCCAAAACTTATTTTTCTTATAGGGATCATTCATTGCTGTCAATATAGTAATATTATTTTTTTTCCTCCAGTACTTTTTAAGAAATTGCTTAAAATAGAATCCACGGGTGTTTTGTCCTACCTTAAGTTACCAAAGAAAGCATGCTATGTGTATAGTTATGGTTAGCAATGGGGAATTCATGGCCTCTGGTTTAAATCACGAATAAAAAAAATACTCAGGTGACCTATAAGGCCCGTTGGCCTCTTGTTGTCAAGTGTGTAAAATATTGTGTCTCTTGGTGTATATCTTTTTCAAAAGAAGAAAGGTGTAAAAGGCACTGAATTTAATTTCATAAGTACTCTTAAACTATCGAAATGTAGCCTTTGTATGAAAGAAATATAGATTATGCTTTTAAGCTTGAAATGTTACTTTTCCCTCTAGGCAAGCAATTAATATTTTATATTGCTCACAATAAATTGCTCACAATATGCTTGCACGATTCACTCTTAGTAATGGTTGAGTTTATCTTCCACCCTCTGTTGTTTACAGTAAGTACGTATGGTAACACAAAAGCAAGGAATGGAACAATAATATCTTGTGATTATTACTTTTCAATTCAAAATAAATAATTCAAACACTCCTGACACTTTATCTTTTGTATAATCACTATTGCTTAAAACTGGTCCATAAAGCATCTAGCTTTCTCTCGATCAATCAATACTTTTTTTTCAAATTTTAGCGGATATATTCTGATATGTTTCATTAGCCGTCGGATTTTGACATTGTGTTTTGAAAAAAAGCCAGGTTATTATACCTCTAGTAATACATGGATGGAGAACATGATAATAATACCCTGTAAATACAATAGGACACAGGAAACAAGACTTTAATTTTTAATTGGCTATTTTAATATTTAACAAACAATATCACATATCTGTTTAAATGAAAAGGAAATAAAAACATGTTTCAAAAGGAGAAAAAATGATGTTATAAATTATTAAATTTTGGGTGAAACATCTGATTCACAGCTCATTTGCTTCACGACTTAGTTTAACTTTAATTCATCTCTAAACACACTATCTCGTCTAAATCTAATTATGCAAAAGATAATTCAAAGTTCAAGACAAATTCTCTACATATGCAATGTCTAAATCTATTCCATCCATACATACACTATTCCACATCATTAATTTACTTTTGTATACAACGGTACGGTAGGCAATTGGTAGGAAACTAACTTAGTTATTGGAAGGCCCGCGATTCTCGTTTGCCGCGCCTGGTCAAACCTAAGACGTAAACATGCATGTAGGAAGTAACTGTTCCTTTGCCAGGCGATTAAAGTAAATGAGGAAAATAACAGGATCGACATCGCATTTCCTATAGCAGACGTGATTCATTTAGAGATTTCTGCTAGGAACTGAGAACGATAGTAGTGTTTTTGATGAGACTCGCATAATCATGAATGTGTACCTATTGCCATTGTGGGCTTGAAACGTGGGGGATAATAATTTGGGTCTGTCTGTCTGTAACGCTTTCGTTTTCACACGATAACTCGAGAACCCTTTGAGCTTTTGCAAAGAAATTTTGCAAAGCATGTCTGTCTGTCTGTAACGCTTTCGTTTTCACACGATAACTCGAGAACCCTTTGAGCTTTTGCAAAGAAATTTTGCAAAGCATCTCCATATGGACTAAAGAAGAACCCTATTGATTTTAAGGTCAAAGGTCGAGGTAAGAAATTCGCAATTTCTGTCTGTTATGACACGTTCGTTTCCGCGTGATATCTCGAGAACCCTTCAAGCTTTTTCAATGAAACTTTTACATTACAACTCCTTGTGGCCTAAGGAAGAATGTGTAATTATTCGACCGTGACCGTTTTTGTTATAAATCATAAAGTTCGAATTCCATGTTTTTCGGGTGTATTCTTCATAATTTTTACTTCCATGTCTTCTGCATCTTTAATTGATAAGGAAACACACAAAAAAAGTTTAATTAAAATGCAGTGTATGTCCACATAACAATGTGCAAGTAAAGTTTAAATGACCCAAACTGGTCGTAATTAACGAGAGTTCTAATTCCTTTCACTGTATGACTTTAGTTTACTTAAAACCTTTTTATTATACCTCTATTGATAATACTCAAATTTGATTGGCTGGTAAGATAACTTTAAAACACAACAATGACTCCAAATGGTACTGTTTACAGCAATACTGACCTAGGAATCATTGCACTTGTGATAATGACCCGGTCATTATTTTTCATGACCGCTAAAAATAACCGCTTAATCAAAAATTCTTTTTTGAGTGTAGTTAATGCATAAAATAATAATTATTCGAAAAAAACCCAACGTTTTTAAAATTGTGCATGGTCTATTTTGCATTAAATACAGAATACGGTTAAATTTTATCGTTCAATATATCGTATCAATATATATCGAACGTTACAATTCAATAGAATGTAGAGGCGGCTCTTTAAAGAGTTGAATTCTGTGTTAGATTTTGACTGTGTAGAGGAATAGTAATCGTTAGTTATAGCAATGTATGTCGCTATCAACCAAATATTGTTTTAATCAGTAAATCATTATGCAAAAACTTACACGAATTGCAGACGTCAATGTAAACAACTTCACTATCCGGTCTGTAGCGAATCCCGATCCCGATCAAAGAAAGAATTGATAACGGTTCGAAATTCATAGTTTTTAATATATATCGGTATAATAAAGCAATTAATTACCCCTTGTGAGTTCAACATGGTGAAATAAGGACCCTCGACCTGGCCACCTCGATGACCTGCCCTGACCTCGGCCGCTACGCGGCCTCTGTCAGGTCAGGTCACCTCGTGGGCCAGGTCTCGGGTCCTTAATTCACCATGTTGACCTCACAAGGGGTTATTAATTGAGCCGTCCCATGCGAAAAGGGCCCTTATTGGTATTACGTCATAATTGAGAAAAAACGTCGCCAAAAATGAACGTCATAGTTTGCAAAGATTAATTTGACGTCTGCAGAAATAAGAAGAAAGAACGGCGAAAATGAGAATGCCACAGTGTCAGTGATGGACTTTTTAGAGGTAATATTTATAATTAGAGAAAGAAACTATGCTTATAATTTAATTACAGAAAGATATGTTGCAGAAATTATTTAATTACTAGCTGAATAAATTCCTGGATCCCCACCACCTAGCAGTGACATAAATTCGCGAAGCAATGTGCCAATATTTACATTCAAATGAAAGATCGTACTACAGCTGTACAGTGTTATTTACCGTAAACAACATTATCAGATGTGCAGAAATAAACCTACATGTAATTGTATTAAATAAACTGACTTGAATAAAATGATCACTTTATTATAAACGAATTTGTCCGGTTGTTTGTTAATTTTGTTTACATCTGTACATGTACATCATGTTGACAGCACTGATTGACTGGGGGACAATAATTTGCAAATTTTTCAATGCATTGTTACGTATAATTAAAAAAAATTCTTTATAAACAGGTCATTTTCAACAATCAAAATTAACTACTTTAGCCGTACCTGTACGTGTTGGTCAAAACATTATCGAGATTTTAGAATTTCGGACACGGTGCTTTAATTAAGAGTTACGTCCCGCTGGTGTCAAGGTCAGCGTTCTGTTAACACAATTTTAGAGTTATTCCCCCTTAATGTCGAAAGAAGGAAGTGTATCACGATGAATAAAGTATTTCATTTACATATCATAGACACCTTGAAATCTACCATATGGTCGATAAAGGTGTTTAATTATAAGTTGGATTTTTTTTTCAAAATTTCTAAATCTGATAAAACTGATAAATCAATGACAAATAAATTCAACGCATAAAAGGAACAGAAAAGGCCTAAAGAAAAAGAAAAAAAAACAAGAAAAGCTATTTGATTTTTGTTTATTTTGACCTACGAAAGTGGAAACTAAATCATGGAAAGATTCTAATTCTTGGTTATAAATATATTTTGAATAAGAGGTGTATTTTAGAACTGTAAAAATTACTTTAAAATACACAACAAAATTGCCATAGAAATTCTGACCTTGAATTTAGGCCTATCGGCAAATAAAATTGCAAGTAGTATCAATATGTATTTCGAGTTCTACCGCAAACAATCCACATTCTAATATTTTATAGATATATTTACATCTAGATAGCCATTGCTTTTGATTAAATTTTTTAAGATAAATAACCAAATAGTTTATTTTTCAAATAGAAATTATATTTCCCTGTCCCATTTTTTTTTTTTTTGGGGGGGGGGGGGGCAAAATTATAAACCAATTAAAATTAGGGAGGGTATCATTTTGTAAACACACATATACTGTTTCTTTATCCCTCTCTCATTTTAATTTCAACAAAATCAATATTTTTCAACAGATTATTGATGAGCTTCACAGGGAATATTTCCCTTCTGCACAAATAAGTTTGCTTGACCGTGATAGTTCGGATGGTGAGGAATATTCATCTGACAGTGAGAGTGATGATATGAACAAAAATGATATTCATGACAGATGTCAGCTTTATGCCTGCCAAACTAATACGACAGAAAGCAAGCCTGAAGATGTCTCAATGTCTGATTTGGAGCAAATAGTTAGAGAAAAGGTTAATGATGGTTGTCATTGTCAAATGAAATGTATTTCAAACTTAAGTTTTGAGGAGATTTTTGGGCATATAAGTTGCATGAAAGAACTTTCAAATGAGGAGAGAGATATGTATCTTATGGGGAAGCTGAAATGTAGTGGTACCGGGGATGATTCTGGTAAACAAATCAAAAGACAAAGATATCATTATAACTTTGATGACAGAGAGATTTGTAAAGACGCATTTCTTTTCATTCATGCCATTGGGGAAAAATACCTCAAAAACTTGGTAAGACACATGAAAACCAACGGCATCAGGCCACGGATACACGGGAATACTGGGAAAACACCGCACAATGCCTTAAAATATGACGATACACAGTATGTTGTAAGCTTTATTCAGAGATATGCTGAGGAACACGGTCTTCCAATGCCAGCAGCTCCAAGAGGTAGGGATACTGAACCACCGATTTTCTTACCTTGCTCTCTCACCAAGAAGGATCTACACGCAAGTTATTCTGAAGCATGCAGCACTTCAGATATACGATGTGTGAAGTTGTCCACCTTTTATGCCATATGGTCTACGTGCCTGCCCAGTATCCAGATTGCCACACCGAGGACCGATGTATGTAGTACATGTGAGCATCATAGAGTTAAAATAATGTATGCACACACTGAAAATGAAAAGCTGGATTCCACACGGCTATTCATCTCAATAAAGCAGAAAGAGAACATAAACATTACATTAAATGCATTGAAGAAGCAAGGATAGAACACCGGAATTTATTCCTAGAAAATGCTCCACATATAGCTTGTTCCACAGAATATGTAAAGGCTCATTACACGTTTGATTTCGCTCAAAATGTAACTGTTCCACACCATTCTAGGCAAGTTGGACCTCTTTTCTTTGAAACACCAAGAAAAATACAGATATTTGGAATTTGTATGGAAGTATCTAGTACCCAGTACAACTACCTACTTGATGAGGACCAGACAATAGGGAAAGATGGCAAGAGTACACATGGACCAAATACCGTTTTGAGTATCCTCCACCATCATTTTCAGGAGTTCGGGTTTGGGGAAAAATCTGCGGTACTACATTGTGACAACTGCGGAGGTATATTGTCTTACACCTAAATTTTATGTGTATGCTTCTATTTTTTTTTTTTCAAAAATCTGTGTGAGATTACTAAACGAATCACTCTGAGTTAGTATATTATGCCAGTGCATCATTAATAATAATAAAAGTGTAGATTTAGATTTTAAATATGTAGACTAATTTTTTAATGTACACGAGGACTTCCATGCCAATTTCAATAATCCTCGCCAATTGACTTATAACAAAGAGAGCCAAACGAGATTTACATTAATTTGGACTCCTTAGCTCTGGACTAACCTATCAATCTGCCTCATTTATATTCCAGTAGAATTATTAAGAAATAAACTCCACTAACTTTGAAAGAATTAACACAAAGAAAAAAAATAATAATAGAAAACTATACGTCGTATCAGCTTTAAACTTTAATTTGATTTATTTCAGGACAGAACAAAAACAGATACACCATAGGATACTTACTTTGGCGAGTCATGGTTGGACTACACTGGGCCATTGAGTTAAACATGCAAGTTCCTGGACACACCAAATGCCAAGTTGATGCAGGCTTTGCGCAGATCAAAAAGAAATATCGAAGGTAATTTGAGTTACTTAGTTTTAAAAAAGTTTTTTGAATATAGACTAGATGCGTTATTATTGTTTTTTTTAATATAGACTAGAAGCGTAATTTTTTTAAGTGTAGACTAGATGCGTTATATGAATCATGACTAATTTACAAACCATTTTAGGGCAGATTTGTGACACAATAGAGCATCTCGCTGAGGTAGTAAATAAATCTTCCCATGGCAATAAAGCTGTAATCGTACAGAACGGGAATCTGGCTTATTACAACTGGAAGGAGTTTGTAAAAAATCACTTCAAACCGCTATCAGGAATAAGAAAATTCCACCATTTTCGGATTTCAGCTTTACAACCAGGAGTTGTCTTTTGCAAAACAGATGTAGACAGCCAAGAGGTCCCTATTGCCTTAACAGTTAAAGATGCGCCTGGGGATTTTCCACAGAAAATATTACCGGGAGGTTTAAGCAGAGAAAGGCAGTCGTATTTGTTTAAACACATCAGGCCGTATGTCAGACCAGAGTTCAGGGATGTTACATGCCCCCCATTGTTAAACGAAGAGTGACGCTTGGAGGTTCCTCGACGTCACTTTTTCTGCGACGTCACTATGAAGTCAACGTCAAAGTTGTCATTTTGAGAGTTAATAAATTTGTTCATAATTCATACATTTTTGGAATTTCTGATTCAAACTTTGGAATTTTGTATTTTAGAAGAAGTACTATTAAAAGCACCCAAAAGCCAAATTTTGATAAAAATTACCTTAAGGGCCCTTTTTGCATGGGACGGCTCAATTGTATAATAATTACCGCTCGAAAAACAAACAAAGCATACCTGAATTCCTTTTAATAATTATCAATAGCTAGATTTTCAACAAACACCACAAAATCATTCTAGAGCTTATCCGGAAAAATCAATGGAACCGGAACCGGAAGTGCCCTCCCCTCAATGTCAAACTGTAGGAGTGGGGAATACATGTAAGAAGATATTATGTAACTATTGTAGCCAAGAAAGAGATAACTTTGGTAAGTCTCCTTGTCATCCTAATCTTAACCCTTATTAACATGGAAGAAGATAGACCACATTTTGGGACAGCTTTTCCAGCTGCAGAAACTAGCGGAACTAGAGGACGATCTAGTCTCCACATGGACAAAACATTCAATGAAAGAATTTTTCTCAAATAGTGTGAACTCTCTGAGGAAAGGTTGTCTTGTTATTAATTCCTTTGAAAAGAGGATAATGCAGTATTTAACGTTGTGATTTTTTAATTCTAGGGTGCCTTAACGTTTCTGCGTATTGTGTTAAAGCGCTTCAATAAAATAAATTAAGTGAGATAAAAATGTTTTGCTACTTTTTTATCCTGTATACTTATTAAAGTATACTTTTAAAATAATTCAATATAAGAGCGGTGTAAAGTAAAAACTTGCCTGGGGACTTTTGAAATCAAGACTTTTGAATTGATCAAGGTCAATCGTCATGTAAGGGTGTAATAAATCGGCTCCGAGAAAAAATCAACAAAATGTACAAACTGGACCGTATTTTCTTCTAGTGCAGGTTCCAGGAACAAATCTTTTTGATTTTCATCATCATAAAAGTGAGTCACTTTGTTAACATGTGAAAGTTTCGTGTTTATAACGCTATACAGACATTTTCTCTGTGTGATTATGATTATGAGTTGTGTTCACTAATGGGAAACAAGAAAAATAAGTCAAAGTTGAAGAAACGCCCAAGAAATAATTTTAGTGATACATCTTTAAGTGGATATTCATCAGTTAATACAACAATGGCAACTAAATCACATCAGAATCCTGATTTGCAAAGTTTAGATAAAATCCTAGATAATTACATGAATGCGTGCTTTAGCACTCGTGTAACACAGTGCTGCTTCTTGTTTCGTTAACTGGTTTCGTGTCGATGAAAAAGCTTGTATTTAAGCATACACCCTGAGGTAATTGATCATGAATGGTGATACCTATGTCGGCCAACATAAGGTCTCCAGCCTTGAGGTTTTCTTTAGATCTTTGCTTTTGTGTACAATAGCTACATCAGAAGTAAAACTTAAGTACAGCTTGGACCAAAATGTATGTGCACCGTTTGGAGCCACTCAGGAGACTAATTTAACAGAATGACGACTTTTGTACGTACTTTATGCTATGGCCTGATTGTCCATATGTGTTGTGATGTCCTGGGTAGTCTCAATTGAATCCATGGATGCCCTAGCACATGTATGCAAGATGCTAAATAGCTTTGATCTGATATCAACTGAAAATATACTGTGAATCATGAGTATTTCAATGTGCAGTTAAAATAACTGTTAAATTATTTAAAATTATTTTTAAAATATTTTTATGTCGGTCTCGTGTCATCAATGCTGTTTTAAAGAAGCTTGACCTCTTCTTGATATAGACATTCTGACGCTCGTGTAATTTGCAATTGGTCCATCTGTGGGCATGACAGAGACACCTCACTTTTAAGTTTTTTTCCTCCTTTTAAAAATAATAAATCTCGAATTATTTTTTTTCAATTCAGTTCTACACAACTCTGTTGATACCCTTTTAAAGATTTTTTGTGAAATATTCTCAATTAAGTTAAACCCCACCCACCTAAAATCCAAAGACAAGATGTTATATATGTGTATTTTGATTTTTTTTTTACCTTTTTGTACATCCGGGATTAGAGAAATCCATGTTATTTCCTTCATTCCATGAAGGATATGCAGGAGTTTTTTTTTTGTAAAGTTCTAAGTGTTTTGTCCTAACTTTTTTATTTAAGTCATAATATATCCTTTGGTACACATATTTGAATATATTTTAAGTAAAAAAATGTATTATACATGTATATCTTCATATTTATAAAAGTTATCAGAGAGTTTGAACAGCAAAAATGGGGTCACAGAGAAACGTCAAATTCGACTAATTTACTTATTTTTACTTAAAAGTATATATCTTCTTTTACTTGTAAAGGAATTTTTCGGAAAAAAAGTTTAAATGTTTGACTGTGTCCCCTATAAATTGTTTCCTACGTATACGAAGGCTGTATCTAATGCGTTGAATGTTTGATTTCATTGCAATGTCAATGTCTGTTGGATTTTGCAATTTCATGCTTAGGACCACTAATCATTTCCATCCAATAAAAATCGATATTATAGTGATAGTTTAAAAAAATACGTCAATCACTTTCTCGTAATAGCGCAAGGCTCTCGCATTTGAACTCTTCGACTGACACTTCAATTTTCAAATTCTTGCAGGATCCCACTTGTTTGTTCTAAACACACAGTACAAAATGAGATATCTGTGTGTTATCTGTCTGATTGTTGTCTTCTTTACGGTGTCTCAGGGTTCCTTTATTTCCAGGAAATTCTCAGCAAAACTGGAATTTGATAATAAAATATCAAATGATGGACTATTAGGAGAATTCAGCTCTCAGTCGTTAATCCAGTGTGGCCTGAATTGTCAAAGAGAGTGTACATGTAGCCTCTTTGGTTACAATACAATATTAAAAAACTGTAGGTTACACAGGGGGAACTTCACTTCCGGAATATCAGAGGAGACCGGATGGAGATACTTTTCTCATCATTGTATGTATTACTTTCTCTAACAAATCATGAATAATGATTATAAGTAAAACGTCTCACTACTCATAATTGCATTTGACAGTTGTCCAAACGATTCATTGGTATTTAAGGTGCATAAACAGATTTGAAGTTGATTTTTGTGTATAATATCACGACTTTAATATTGCAATAGTATTTCACATAAAACTATTTTAAATCTTATTTCATCTACTTCAAATTTTTGGATGAATTTGATTGACACATCCTTGAACTTTTACAATTTTTTAAATTCTCAACTCTTTGCAACTTACTGTTATGCAACATATATTTAATGTTCATGTCATAGAAATATGTGTTTACCATTTCCCTGCAAGCTCTTTATAGCGTTGTACAACTTTCTGTAAGTTAAGCGTAAATAAGGTCACCTGAGTCACTCAGGTGACCTATTGCTATCCGTTTTCGTCGTGCGTCGTTTTTTAACATTTGAACATTTTCAGCTTCTTCTCTGAAACCACTAATCCAATTTCAACCAAATTTTGTTTACAGCCTCTATGGATGAAGGGGAACAAAGATTGTGAATTTCATGGTCCCTGCCTCCGTGGGGCCTGATGGTGGGACCAAAACCATTAAAATTAATGAAATCTTTAAAAATCTTCTTTACTCCTAGACATCAAGGAGTCAAACTGTTGGTATGAATGTAATGAACATTGAGTCCTCTACCAAAATTGTGAAATTCATTGCCCAGGAACAGGTGTTCCAGTGCTAGAGCAGGGCTAAAAAGATTATATAGTACATTAATTCTTTGAAAATCTTCTCTGCTCCTTGGTATTAAATAAATTAAGTACATAGTTATGATGAGCAAGAGTGCCTCTTCCAAAATTGTGAATTTTATGACCCCATGGTCTAGTTTTCTGGTGTTAGGGCGTGTCTCTATTGATTATTTAGCGAAAATGCATTAATTCTTTGAAAATCTTCTTCTCTGCTCCTGGGTATTAAATACACTAACTTAGTACATGTATATAGTTATAATGAACAAGAGTGCTTCAACTAAATTTGAGAATTTCATGGCCCCTGTATCAGGGGTTTTGCCATTTCATGATTTGGTACATGTGTAAGGGGGTGGGGTGGGCTCTTTTGTTTATATTGTGAAAACAAATTAATTCTTTAAAAAAGTTTTTCCTTGCTCAAGAGTATTTTGCCAATGATCTAAATATATATAATTCTGATGGGGAAAAAGTGAATCAAGCAAAATGGTTAATTTCATACCCCCTTAGTCAGGGGTATTGGAGGGGGGGGGTGTACATAGTTTGAAAATAAATTAATGCTTTGGAAACTGCTCTTTGGTATTAACTTTTTATGATGAAATAAAATTTATGATTAAATATAGAAAAAATTGAAATAAGTGGCCCCAGGGTCAGTGGTTCATTCGGGATGGGGTGCATAACTGGTGATAAAGTGCATTCTCTCTTTATT